CTGAAATCTGGGTCATTAAAGTTTAATTGACCTCAGACAACCCTGATAGGTCTTAAAATGTTATGAATTATTCTTTTTTAAATATTATGAATTATGCATCTTTGGAATAATTTTTCTTTGTTTCCATTGATTTTTTTTTTTTTTGAGACAGTGTTTCTCTGAATGGCCCTGGCTGTCCTGGAGCTCACTCCGTAGACCAGGCTGGCCTTGAACTCAGAGATCCGCCTGCCTCTGCCTCCCAAGTGCTGGGATTAAAGGCGTGCGCCACCACAGTCTGGCTCCTGCTCATGTGTTCTTGATTTCTCTAGATCATGTTGCGATTTTCAGTTTGACCTCACTGTGTTTGGAACTGCAGGTGACCTCATCTTTCAGGCGAGGCCACTGACACTGAATGAAGAACTGAATGAAGAAGGGATGTGCAGAGACGCTGCTGTGCAGAGACGCTGCTGTGCAGAGATGACGCTGCTGTGCAGAGATGACGCTGCTGTGCAGAGACGCTGCTGTGCAGAGGGTGACGCTGGGGCAAACCTCTGAGTCAATTCTCACCAGAAGTCGTTTGGCTACTTTACAGTAAGGTCTGTGTCTTCCTAGGTCTGACACTAAGAAAGTCAAGCTAAGGAGCTGGGACACGGCTCACTTGGCTAAGAATCTTCCATGCAAACATGAAGACCTGAGTTTGGGTCCCCAGCACCCTATAAAAAATCTAAGCATAGTCGCATTTGTCTATAACACTAGCTGGTGATGGAAGGGAGCCAGGCAGATCCCTGGAAACCACTGGCCATCCAGTCTGTTCCAGATGGCCAACACTGAGCTCAGTGAGAGAAACTGTCTCAGAATAAAATGGGGACAATTAAGTTGCCTGATGCCAACCTCTGACCTTGACGCAAAAACACACACATGTGCATGCAGACCCACGTGCACAGTGCACACAGGCGCATACACACACAAATTCAATCCCGCCATATATCCCGTCCCTACCCCAGCGAGCTGCGTGGTGGCTTTAACTGTGGGCCGTGGCTTGCCTGTCTACTAAGTGGAAGCTTTCGTGACCTCCATGGTCTTAAGAGTCTCACTGTTGAGATTGCTAAGGGGGCACTTACATGGAACATGGGCAGAGTGAGCCATAGTTAAATTTGTCAGGAGTTTATTTTAGCCCTCAGTGTTAATCAAAACCTTTTAAAAATAGTTTTTAATTATAGTTTTGAAACTTGGTGTTATTTGTTACAAGTTTTCAGAAGCACAAAAATCACACCTCCCCCCCTCTCCCCATTTCTGAGCCAACTCTGTGCTTTCCTGGTTCATAAACACAGGTTTTATTTCTCTGTGCCTGTCAGAGTCAACACAGCCAACTCAACACTTCCCGTTTCTGTCCTCGTCACAGGTACAGGCGTCGACCCACCTGCTCCCAAAATAAGCTTCCTGCTTTAGTTCCTCGGTGTCTGGCTAGGCAACCAGACCGCCAATGCCTGGACAGCGATCACTTTGGCCACTGAAGGCCCATCTCTGGCATTCTTGCTCAACTCGTCAGCCTCTTCGTGTTCTCGTCAGATGCTCTTGCCGTGGGGTCAAGTTTGAGCTGAGACCTCAGAGCGTTTCAGTTCCTCACCAGAGCCCCCAGAGCCAGCATGAGAACAGCGCACGCCAATTTCCTATGGCGACTCTTGGTTCTCTAAATGTCTGCTACTTTTGAAGGAAGAAGATTGAGTTTCATCTGTATTGAGTAAGAGGAGCGTAAGCTTAAAAGTATTTTATGTTTCCATCACAGTTTATTCTGTTTAGCATAAATCACCAGAGCCAACCA